AGTAACCAAGTCAATAAGATATGAAGACCAAGATGTTGTGGCCTCTGGTATGGTTGCAGTCTCCTTTCGACTTATGGAAGTGGGTTGACCTCGTTGTCGCAACTTGGTCTTGTCGTCAGGGTGACATAATAGAACTCACCTAGTCCGAAGTCATCTGCCATAATAGTTGTCATAGGCCCAGCATCAGACAGTGGACTTGGTACATTCTCCAATGTTTCGCCGGCATCGTAGTCGGCATCATCAGTGAATGCTGCCATTATTCGCACCAAGCTACGAAATCATCAAAGATATAAGTGAAATCAATCCTTTGACCAACGTTCTGCCGAAAACGGTTACACTATCACTCCTCTTTCTGTCATTGTCTATCTATCTACTCTTTAACATCTTATCCCACTGCCGATCTATCACAACTTCTGACTTGTTTACATTCCACTCGTCAAAATGTGTTTCCTTTTGTAGCAAATCTAGTGTGACTTCATCACACTTGTTATTTATCCCGACCCCTCTCTTTCGATCGGGCCTCCAATCTGGAACCCCTCATCATCCCGTAGATCCACCCCTTATCTTTCTTGTTTACCGATTTCACTTGGTTCACACTAGGACTGGAACCGAGAGCGTACCAAGTGTGATGCGGCCACACTATATTTGCCACAAAAGAACACACATTTTGACGAGTGGAATGTAAACAAGTGGCAGTTATGATATGGCGGCAGTGGGATAAGCGGGTAAAAAGTAGATAGATAGTCCAGGACAGAAAGAGGAGTGATAGTTTAACCGTTTTCGGCAGAACGTTTGTCTAAAGATTGACTTCACTTGTCTCTTTGACGAGTTTGTAGCTTGGTGCGGAGAATGGCAAAACCTACTGCTGATGCTGACTACGATGCCGGAGAAACGTTTGAGAATGTACCAAGTCCACTGTCTGATGCTGTGGATCATGACAACTACCATGGCAGACGGCGTTCTACTAAGTCGCCCTGAAAACAAGACCAAGTTGCGACAACGAGCCTAACCCACTTCTACAAGTCGATAAGGTTCAAATGGAAGCATAATTTATTTTTATTTGGTAGTCTTTAAAAAAATTATACAACAAAGACCCCTCATATATTGAGTCACAGTGTAACGGATTATGAATAAGAGTAAATTCATGACATCTTAATTGCGTTTTATTCATTTTTTTACCAGAATTTCTTCGTTTCTCTATTCTAGCGCTGGGGTTGGCCGGACTGGCACATTTATTGCCATTGACACCATCATGCGCCAAATAAGGGCTGGACATCAGCTGATCGATATTTTTGGAGTCTGCTTGTACCTACGCTACTGGCGCAGATTGATGGTTGAGATGAAGGTGAGTCTCTGCTCGTGGAAGTAGGGATTTTTTGGGAATTTGTCATAATCAGTCAGAACGGATGGTGCTTTGTCAATGAGCCTCCGACCGTTGCTTTGTCTCCTTCGCGGCCTCTGCAATATTTTTACTTGCATGCAAGCCATGCGCTACAGGGCCCTTATCGTTGCTTGTCTGAATAGACTTAGGATATTCATATACATTTGACCTGTACCTATTTCTCTCATAATCACACGATGTCAAGGCTGCTCTTGCGCAGCAGAGCTCGTATACTAGGCAAAAGTAAACACACCTTACATCGTTGGTCCGCATTTTAACATATCATCTCGTACGTAGTTTAATTAATGCAAATGAATGAGTTTACATCCACTTTATACGATTCGCCTCAATTGTCCTCGAGTACTGCAATGTAGGCCTTGTTGGCAAAACCTTTTTTGAAATCATACAAAAGGTCAGTCAGTGTGTAAATTATCCATTTACTGGTGATATTAGCTAGCATCATAAATTAATTCTGACTGTCTCCGTGCCCCAAAAATGAGTTTTTGTCTCGTATCAACCGTATTTTGATTCCAATACTGACGCCTGACTCGCTTGGTTGCAGAGGATAAATAGGCTGTCATTTTATTTGGTCTATTTAAAAGCTTATTGAAGATAATTTCTCATGAAAATCATACAGTTTATAGGTCTCTCTTAACTTTTTAGTCTATTTAAGCTAATTACGTATTTTTCCATTGCACACTTTAAATTTAGTCTCAGTACTTGTTCATACACGCCTACCTCGGGTACAAGCTTAAACAGAATGCCGATAGAGATGACCTGCAACCGTGGAAACGCAGACGCAGCATTAAAGAAGAGGATACCGAGGCTTTCCAGCGCGTACCGTGATTCGCTGAACCTATTTACCACAACGTCATCATCAGATCCCACCGTCCGAAATAGTCTCACAGTTGAAGCCATGTATAAACCCATGTAAAATCTACCCCTGAAGTGTAAAAACACCATAAAATATTTCAAACAATTTCAGCAATATTATGTGACCGATTCAATCAGGCCGTAGGCTTTGGCTATCGCGATTCCACCAATACGCTCCTACCAGGATTGTGATAAAACTAAAAATAATGTTCCTCCTCTCATTTGCAAAATATGAATACAAAGAGGGCTAGATTTTTATAGCTTTACGAAAATTATGAATCACTTCTTGTAACATTCATTGCATCTTGGCAGTCTTCATCTCACTTTTCAATTTAAGAGTTTTCATGGTAATGCTCTGATATTAAATCTTATGCCTATTAGGTTAGTGCAGTCATGTCTTTCAGGTGGGAAGCACGTTTATCCTCCTCTTCATGTGACCCTTCT